TGGTACAAAAGGTGCAACAGGCAAAGTCACGGACCTCAAGTTGAAAACAAGTTCCAGCAAAGGCGGGGCCGCGGAGCCATTTCCGTTGGAGGTGCTGAAGGATCTGCTAGGTCACGATCGGGAACACGCCAACTTGCCGCTACTTGTCATCTTCGTCAAAGCCTTCAGCTGGGACATCCTCGGCGTCCGACCTGCAGCGGCCGAGGGACGGAAGACTGTGGAGGAAGATGGGGCCACACGACCTGCGCATGAGTTCTCGGGAGACACTGATAGTGCTAATGGCCCTGAGACCGACAGCGACGACAGCCCATTCACTCCACCTGAGCTCCAGGAGAAATTCAAGAGCATCCTCAAACGTTACTTCGACGACGTCAAGAACCACGTTCTACGCGACCAAAAGGCCATCCACTCGCAGGCGCGCCGCAACGCCGAGGCTTATGTCAAGTCGGGGGAGGTGTTTGAGGACCGACAATCCAACTATGAAAAGCAAGTCAAATCGCAAGAAAGACTCGTTGCCAACGCGCAAGCTATCGCAGATGTCATCGGGGCCGAAATGCCTGATCTCAAGGACCACGAAGATGCTGGAGCCGCGAACGGCTCCATTGGTCTGGTTAAGGCTGGAGAGTACCTCCGCGGCTTGGGCGATGGTGCTGGCATCTGGGAAGACGAAGAGGAGCGACGCTTCTACGAAAATCTTGTGGATCTGAAAGGCAAGGTGCCTGGGATGCTTCTCGAGGACGGCAAGAAGAAAAAGCCGGAGAATGATGAGCAGGTCGGAAAGAAGATTGACGTGGCGGACGTCGAAGCGCCAAAGCCGACTGATGCCGCCGATGACCAGTCGATGGCTATTGCAAACAAGACCATTGGAGCCCAGGTCGATGCAGTCCTAGCCCGGCTGCCAGAACTAACGACAAAGGATGCCATCGATGAAACAGCGATTGACTTTTGCTTCCTAAACTCCAAGGCCTCGCGGAACAGGCTGATCAAGGCTCTCACCGAGGTGCCTAAAGGCCGAGGAGACCTGCTCCCCTGCTGGGCACGCCTGACTGCGACGCTCGGCCAGTACATGCCAGACGTCCCCAAGGGACTTGTGGACTATCTTGATGCTGAGTTCCGCAGTCTGCAGAGGCGCAAGGAGAAGGATTTTCTTGGTCAAGTCCGCTTGGGCAACATTCGGTACTTGGCTGAGCTAACCAAGTTCGGCATTGTTCCTGAGCATGTTGTGTTCCATTGCCTGAAGGTCAGCATGGATGATTTTTCAAAGATGAACATTGAGATTATCTGCAATCTTCTGGAGAATTGTGGGCGTTACCTCCTGCGAAACCCAGAAACGTCGCCTCGCATGGCAACTTTTCTCGAGACCCTTCAGCGAAAGAAGTCGGTCCAGCACATCGGACAAGCCGAGCGCATGTTGATCGAGAATGCCGTTTACTATGTTGATCCGCCGGAACGCCCAGCCATCGAGCAGAAGGAGCGTGACCCTATGGAGCTGTTCATCCGCAAGCTGATTTACATGGACATGACTAAGCGCAACTTCAGTAAGATTCTGAAGCAGATTCGCAGACTTCACTGGGAAGAAACGGAGGTCGTCACCATCCTCGAAAAGGTCTTTTCGAAACCCGGCAAGGTCAAGTATGGCAACATTCACTTGCTGGCCATCCTCATGGGAGCCCTCTATCGCTACCATCCAGCCTTTGCAGTCAAGGTCATTGACAACCTCATCGAATCCATATGTTTTGGTCTTGAACTTAATGACTACAAGTACTATCAGCGACGCATCGCTGAGGCGAAGTACTTGGGTGAGCTCTACAACTACCGAATGGTTGAGCACCCTGTCATCTTTGACGCCATGTACAAGATCGTAACCTTTGGTCACGGGGGTGTGCCTCACCCTGGCCGGTTCATCGCGCTCGACCCTTCCGACGATTTCTTCCGCATCCGACTTGTGGCGATCATCCTGGAGACCTGTGGAGTTTACTTCACCAAGGGTGCTGCCGGCAAGAAACTGGACCACTTCCTGTACTTCTTCCAGTACTACATCTACACCAAGCAGCCCCTGCCGATGGATATCGAGTTCATAGTTACTGATGTCTTTGCACTGACGCGGCCCAACTGGCAACTGGCCACCAGCTACGATGAAGCTGTGAAGGCTTTCCAACAGGCAGTTGCCAATGACCAACGAATGTCGGGTGCCGACAAGGCTGCCGAGGCTGCGGAAGTCGACGATGCGTCGTCTGTCTCCTCGGATGATGATGAGGACGGCGATCCAGATCTACCCGAGGCTGAAGCTGACGGCGATGAGGATGACTCTGATTCCGAAGATGACATTGATGACGAGGACAACCATGGGTCAGCCATGGACTCGCTTTCTGTGTCAGAAGATGAGGCTATTGTTGTCACGCGCCAAGAACAGCAGATCGACCCAGAAGCCGAGGCCGATTTTGAACGCGAGTATGCAAAGATGATGGCTGAGAGTCTTGAGTCGCGCAAATTTGAGAGAAAGCCGCTTTTCGATGTCCCACTCCCGGTTCGTGGCAAGACCAAGGAGGCTTCGTCTGGAGCCGAGCCTATAGAGCCAGCCACCTCTGGACCAGGACCTACGATGGCATTCTCACTCCTCACGAAGAAGGGCAACCGCCAACAGGTCGGTCTCGCATTCGCCTGCGCGTCGACGTTTTCTTCTTCTTACTGACTATATTTCCAGACACGTACTGTTGAAGTGCCGTCCGACTCTAACTTCGCCGTGGCGATGAAGAACCAACAGCAAGTCGAGAGGGAGGAGCAACAACGCATCAAAAACCTTGTGCTCAACTACGATCTCCGCGAAAATGAAGAACAAGATGGTGAACTCAAACCATACTCCGCCATAAAACCTACTTATTCACAATCAACTAGGAACCGACAAGCCCAGCAGCCATCACCACAACCGCGTGGAACGAGGCAAAGAGCGGATCGGCCAACGATCGCGCAAACTCCAGCTAAGTGATGTCGACTGGTACGACTCCTCCAGAAAGCGTAGCCAGCACTTCGCCAGAGCGCCCAATTATACTCCCTTTTGTCGTGGCCGCGCCACTATCGAGGACAAGGCCCAGCAAGTCGCTGCTTCCTTGGTCGACGATATGTCTCGCAAGCGTAGCTCGTCGAATGGACGACTTGCGCCGCGCCATAACGCCGCCTGCATGCGTCAACGTCGATGTCAACCCTAGGAAGAATTTAAGATTTGCTAACCAAAAGGGGCACTGCCCGCCTTCACAATAGGACTTGACACGCACGAGATCAGATCCGGTCCTCATCACTCACATAGACAGTAGTCGAACACAACAGCACTACGGCTGCGGTATCTTCGGGTTGCCAATAAAAGGCTTGCGCCTGGAGGTGGCACCAGCAGTTCGGAAACTCCTAGCATGACCACAGAGCTGGAAGGTCAACTACTAATGTTGTCACGCATCGACAAACCGACAGCGTATGCCGCACCAACTTCTAGGCAAGACACTACTCCGTCGCCATGCGCCACGTCGTATCGTGCCGAACAATCAACAGTGGCGCGCACGACAAACAGGCAACGGCAGCGGCTACAGTCACGAAGCCCCACGCACGCGGTGCTGTGGTTCAAGGTCTCGCAAAATGACGGCAGCTGCAATGTGACGCGCCCTTCAGAATCCTGGTATGTACTGACGAGGTCGGACGCATGTCCAGAACAGGAGCCGATGTATCAGTCTGGATTGGAAGCACATAGCTAGAGAGCAAGATTGTTGAGCCTCGGGTCAGCATTCCATTTACATGCGTTAGTTCTGGCAACAGCGAACAAAGATCTCTGCGGTCGTTAGAGAACTGTGTCGGCGGAACAGTTTGATGTGACCTTGTTGTGATGGTCTGCTTTTTCCCTACCTAGACCGCCCTAATTTGCTGGTTCTGTGAAAGGTCGGGGTCGCTTGAATGGACACGGGGTTGGCCAGACTTGTGTGGCAAGAGCTACACCCAAGAGCCTGCCCGTGGCCAAGCTCGCCGGGGCTGCAGGCAGGCTCCAATGGCCAAACGTGACTCGGTGGCCATTGCTATGTCGAAGTAGTTACTCACGCCCACGGATGTATACGAACGACAGGATCTCTCATCGAAATGAGGCAACAAGTGGGCAGGCCCCTTCTTCCCCGGAAGTCAAATCAACCCGATCGCCACTTGACCGCACCCACGCCCTGAATTTGCAATGTAGAATGGTCAGGCACAACCACAAACCACATGACTGCTCAGCCAGTGGGCCCACTGAGACAGAAGGCGCGATGAAGGGGCGCGCTATGCTACACGGTGTTGGATGGGCCAACCTTACTCACGGCCCGTATTGCGCCGCTCAGTGTTGACGACGAAGACGTCTCCACACAGATTTCATAAGGTCAGGCAAGGAGTGGCCTCCGGCCTCCGAGATGGGTCTAGCATTGTCAGCATATTCTCGTTGTCTCGTTGACATGTCTGCCTTCGTTCGCCACGGCCTTGAGCAACTGATCGTCATCCCTGTCACACCGTGGCTACGGCGGGACGATGAAGAAGGATCCATCTCTTTCTGAACTCGTCTCATTGCAATTGCGATATTCTATGCCTGAAGATGGTCACAGGACGTTGAGCTGCCGCATCTTGCTGTTCCTACCTCGGTCAACAGGCTGACAATTCACCAAAGGATTCCACACCCTGGGAGTCAGACGCAGGTGAATACGGTTGCACAAAGATTTTATTCTCGAGTCCCGATCAGGCCGAGTGAACCAACCACGAGGTTATGTTTATAGAGATAGCACAACACCAGCATCTGTGCTGCAGTTACCCGGCCGGATTACAGGGGCAACTGCGATTACCCGTCGCTTCTCACCGCGACTTTTCGGCCATCGGAGCGACTCTGCCCTCAGCCTTGCCTGTGAGAGCGTCATCAATATTTTTTCTCTCTCTTCTTCTCCAGTTCGGTATATCTAGCCGCTCCTGCATCAATACCTATTTGTGCTGGGTCTAAGCGCATCATGTCTGACGATGATATGGACGATTGGCCAGTGCAAGACGTAAGATCCAAGCCATACCTTCAGGATCCTTCGCCAGATTGCTAACGCGCCCAGATAATATACACCTCCATTGTGGGGGTTGTGATGCTTGCTGCTGTGCTGGAGTGGTTTCTTTGGATCGCTGCATTTCTCTATTGCCTCTGGAAGGTCTTCGTCAAAGCAGAACACTGGACCATCAGAGTGCTTTCCGTCGTCGTTGCCGTACTTTTCACAGCGCTGAGGTATGACAGTCACATCTTCAATGCACCCAGGTGCCCGACACAACTGCTCATCGAGATTAAGGTCCATCTTCCTTCCCATTATGGTTGTCACCCTGCCGCTTCCCGCTGCTGTCGTCGGAGTTTGGCCAGCTGGCATGGTCGAGATTCTGCAATGGTTCGGATTTTGGTGTTTTGCTGGTCTTCTAACAGTTCCCTGGCTCTTTTGCATCTACCAGCTGGTCACCAATCAACTCGGCCGCACCAAGAGAATCAAGCAGGTCCTCGATGAAGTGTCTGCACCTAAAGTTGTCATTGTCATGCCATGCTACAAGGAGGAACCGGATATACTCGTCAAGGCTGTCAATTCTGTTGTTGACTGCGACTATCCACCGTCATGTATCCATGTCTTCTTGTCGTTCGATGGCGACCAGGAGGATGAACTCTACCTAAGGACCATTGAGAGTCTGGGCATTTCCTTGACCCTCGAGTCCTACCCCAAGAGTATCGACGTCATTTACAAAGAGGCACGTATAACAGTCTCCAGATTCTCGCATGGCGGTAAGAGACACTGTCAGAAGGCCACGTTCGAGCTCATCGATAAAGTCTATCGGCACTACATCCAGCGCAACGACAACTTGTTCATTCTTTTCATCGACTCGGATTGCATTTTGGATCGACATTGTCTGCAGAACTTCGTCTATGACATGGAGCTGAGCCCAGGTAACCGACGAGACATGCTGGCCATGACTGGAGTCATCACATCCACCACCAGGAAGCACAGCCTCATAACGATTCTTCAAGACATAGAGTACGTCCACGGACAGCTCTTTGAGCGCACTGTCGAGTCAGGATGTGGCTCTGTCACTTGCCTGCCCGGTGCTCTGACAATGCTCCGGTTCTCTGCATTCCGTAGGATGGCGAAATACTATTTCGCAGACAAGGCCGAGCAGTGCGACGACCTCTTCGACTTCGCCAAATGCCACCTGGGAGAAGATCGTTGGCTGACGCATTTGTTCATGATCGGAGCGAAGAAGCGGTATCAGATCCAAATGTGCACATCCGCCTTCTGCAAAACAGAGGCCGCGCAAACGACCAAGTCCCTCATCAAACAACGTCGAAGATGGTTTCTAGGTTTCATCACCAATGAAGCGTGCATGCTCACGGACTGGCGGCTTTGGAAACGGTATCCGGTCCTCATCTTCGTTCGCTTCATGCAGAATACAATCCGCACAACGGCTCTATTGTTCTTTATCATGGTCCTCGCCATCATCACAACGTCGAAAAAGGTTGACCAGCTGCCTGTCGGGTTCATCGCCGTTTCCCTGGGGCTGAACTGGCTTCTGATGATATATTTTGGAGCCAAGCTGAAGCGGTTCAAGGTTTGGCTGTACCCGATGATGTTCGTGGTCAACCCCTTCTTTAACTGGTTCTACATGGTGTACGGTATCTTCACGGCCGGGCAGAGGACGTGGGGTGGTCCTCGAGCGGACGGTGCAGAAGCGAATCCGGGCACGACAGCCCAGGAAGCCGCCGCGGGCCGGAGATGGAGCCTTAACAAGGGAAACCAAGGCGGTGGCCTCGGCAGAAAGACCAGCGTGGTACGGCCGCCGGATAAGATCGACGGCCGTTTCGCAGCGCGGAATCAGCTGCACGGAGGCTTCTTCACACACGGCGACGAGTCTCTCGTCAGCATCGCAGCCGGCGGGAGTGGAGAGGCGTCGGAGCCTGGCACCCGCTTGGCGCCTGATCCTCGTGAAAGCTTCGACAGCACTCTCCATAGTCAGACTGACGGCAACTATGGGGCTCCTCCGCGTCGATTGGAAAGCGTCATGGACGAGGAGGACCGGAAGAAGTTCGAACTCGCACAGCAGAGCCAGTCGTACATCATTTTACGGCCAGCTCCAATCGTGTAGAGGGCCTACCCTCGCGGGACCGTGCCCAGAAAAGCGCAGGCCCTGTGTAGTTTGGCGACAGGGAACCTGATGACACGCTGGGAATTCGAAGAAGTAGATGTGGGAGCGGCGCAGCGGACGACATGATGTGTCAGGCCGATGATATTTCACCTGATCTGATAAGTCAAATAGAGCCAAGGGATGGCGACGGACTGTCGGATTTGACGTTGAATTTTTCGTGTACAATTTCCTGGCTCGACCAATGCCTGCCTGACGATGTATTCTATTCGGAGATGGTGTCTCCATTTTGGAGCTCACGACGATGACCCATGCCACGTGGTAGTGATCAAAGTCATCAACAAACAGGCAGAAGTGAGGCTTCGACGTAAGATTTCCAAGCCGCCAAGACCAGCGGGCGAGAGCACTGTGCGGAGTTAACGCAGAGCATGTGTGCACTGTATTTACGATGGTCAACGAGCGTGGGGCATTGTATGAGATCCTTGTGAATGAGGGGCGATGGTGGGGTAATGCGCATGTCGCGAGCTGCCCTGCAAAACAAGAGACTGACGGTGAGGACGAAGCCCAAGAGCGCCGAGACAGGGGCGAGTAGCTAATGAGTTGGTGCGGTTGACGTAAAGGTCAGCTAATATTATGACGCTGGGAAGACGCTGAGGACTCGTGCACTGTGTGCGGATGGCTTGATCATCAATCACTGGCTGGCTGGGGAGGTGTTTTGGAAACAAGCAGGAAATTCGTGAGTCGTCGAGAAAGTTCTTTCCTGTTCGATGACAGGATGGACAAGTCTGTCGTTGGCGGGGCAGGTTCCAAGGGGGTACGCGATGGGTACTTGCGGGCGGCAGCAGGACGGGGCTGCGAGGGGCAGTTCATCCACTGAGATGACACCGTCGGACCCCCTGATGTGGCCGCCTCGCGCCTGTCACCGCCTCGGGCGCGAAGTACTGACCAAGTAGCCACTAGGACAGACCAGCAGCAACCCCTCCATCGGGAGGGGGGTGGGAGAAAGAGGGATTGCGCTGCTTGCCTCACAAACGTCTGGGTGGTGCTGGCTTTTTTTTTTTCCCGCCCACACCATTATCAAACGTCGTCAAATCAGGCACCTTAGCCTCGTAGCGCACGCCCGGCCCTGCCTCTCTCTCTCTCTCTCCCTCTCTGGTCTCTCTGCCTGGCTGCTAAACTTTTTTCTTCACCTGTTGCCGCTGCAACCTTTATCTAATCGGCCACTCCAACGACTTTCCCTCACCACACCAAAGACCACAGACCACACACCGCGCATCCATACCCAACCTGCGAACAACACCTCACCCCCGCCCATCCTATTCCCACCACAACATCGTCTCGTCTTTTGGCTGCTACTGAAGCCAGAGAGAGTATCGTCACCTCCTTCCATCCCACTTCACACACGCAGAACCCGACTGCTACCGCCACCATGAGTGTCGTTGGTAGGTTGTTCCCTATTCCTGCTGCTTCCACTTCTTCCCCCTCCGGTTTGCGCGCAAGCCGTAAGGCTCTGGTTTCCCGAAACCCGAGTCTTTGCTCACATGCTTCCTTTAGCCAAACGGCAACTGCTTTGAAACTGATCACTAACGATCCATCTCTCCTCATCAGGTGTCGATTTCGGAACCCTCAAGACGGTCATTGCTGTCGCCCGCAACCGTGGCGTTGACGTTGTGAGTAGCCCCTCCCTGCTTCTCCGGCCGGTCCCCTCCCATCTCGAACCCACATCTTGCGACCAAGATGGCTGACATGCTGCCTCCTACCTATACAGATTTGCAATGAGGTCTCCAACCGTGCCACCCCTTCCCTTGTCGGCTTCGGCCCCAAGTCGCGATACCTCGGCGAGACTGCCAAGACGCAAGAAATGTCCAACCTCAAGAACACTGTCGGCTCCCTGAAGCGCCTCGCCGGCCGCAGCTTCAACGACCCCGATACCCAGATCGAGCAGACGCACATGACCGCTCCCCTCGTCGACATGAACGGCCAGGTCGGCGCCGAGGTCAACTACCTTGGAAAGAAGGAGAAGTTCACCAACACCCAGCTCATCGGCATGTACCTGAGCAAGATCAAGCAGACCACCGCTGCCGAGATCAAGCTGCCCGTCTCTGACCTTGTCATGAGTGTGCCCGCCTGGTTCACCGACATCCAGCGTCGCGCTCTGATCGACGCTGCCGAGATTGCCGGCCTCAAGCTTCTCCGCCTCATGAACGACACAACCGCTGCCGCTCTCGGCTGGGGTATCACCAAGCTCGACCTCCCTGCGCCCGAGGAGGCTCCCCGCCGCGTCGCCTTCATTGACATTGGCCACAGCAACTACACCTGCTCCATCATCGAGTTCAAGAAGGGCGAGCTCGCCGTCAAGGCGACCACCTACGACCGCCACTTTGGCGGCCGCGACTTTGACAAGGCCATTGTCGACCACCTGCAGAAGGAGTTCAAAGGCAAGTACGGCTGCGACATCAACACCCACCCCAGGGCCTACGCTCGTACCGTTGCCGCTGCCGAGAAGTGCAAGAAGATTCTGTCGGCGAACCAGCAGTCCCCTGTCAACGTCGAGTCCCTCATGAACGACATTGACGTTTCCGCCATGATCACGCGCCAGGAGTTCGAGGCCATGGTTGAGCCTCTCCTGGCCCGCGTCCACGTTCCTCTTGAGCAGGCCCTCGCCGACGCCAAGCTGACCAAGGATGACATTGACGTGATTGAGATCCTCGGCGGCGGTTCCCGTGTGCCCGCCCTCAAGGAGAGGATCCAGGAGTTCTTCGGCAAGACCCTGTCCTTCACCCTCAACCAGGACGAGGCCGTCGCCCGCGGTTGCGCTTTCAGCTGCGCCATTCTGTCCCCCGTCTTCCGTGTCCGTGACTTCACCGTCCAGGACATCATGAGCTACCCCGTCGAGTTCGCCTGGGAGAAGGCTGCCGACATTCCTGATGAGGAGACGAGCCTGACAGTCTTTAACAGGGGCAACGTTCTGCCCTCGACCAAGATCCTGACTTTCTACCGGAAACAGCCCTTCGATCTCGAGGCCAGATACGTCAAGCCCGAGCTTCTGCCCGGCAAGATCAACCCATGGATCGGCCGCTTCTCCGTCAAGGGCGTCCAGGCCGACGGCAAGGACGACTTTATGATCTGCAAGCTCAAGGCCCGTGTCAACATTCACGGTGTCCTCAATGTCGAGAGCGGCTACTACGTCGAGGACCAGGAGGTCGAGGAGGAGATCAAGGAGGAGGCCAAGGACGGCGAGAAGAAGGACCCTGATGTAAGTCCACATGTTCCAACAACAACCCTGACCCCACCTGCCACATCTTCCCCTTCAGCGATGGCTTTTCTTTCCCGCGGCACAAGTGTGCAATCGCCATTACGCGCGCGCGCGCGAATGGCGGTGAAAGCTCGTCCTCTGTGAAGAGAATGATTTGCCAACGTTGTCCTCCAGTCAATTTCAGAGCGCGCAGACCGATTCTTTTCGAAGCTAACCAAGACTTTTTCCGATAAGGCCATGGAGACGGACAACAAGGACGACGCCCCCAAGAAGACCCGCAAGGTCAAGAAGCAGGTCCGCAAGGGTGACCTCCCTATTTCCACCGGCACCGCCTCGCTTCCCGAGTCCACCAAGGTTGCGCTCTTCGAGAAGGAGAACGCCATGGTCATGGAGGACAAGCTGGTGGCCGACACGGAGGAGAAGAAGAACGAGCTCGAGACCTACATCTACGACCTCCGCAACAAGCTCGATGACCAGTACGCCGAGCTTGCCACCGAGGAGGAGAAGAACAAGATCAAGGAGAAGCTTGAGGCTAGCGAGGTAAGCGAACACGATTGGACAGACACCAGACGCATGAGACTGTGCCGCTAACGCCGAGGTCCCAGGACTGGCTCTACGATGAGGGTGACGACACGACCAAGGCCGTGTACATTGCCAAGATTGACGAGCTCCGCGCCATGGCTGGACCCATCATGCAGCGCCATTTCGAGAAGGTCGAGGCTGAGCGCCAGGCCGTTCAGGCCAAGATTGACGCCGAGAAGGAGGCCAAGCGTGCTGCCGATGAGGAGGCTCGCAAGGCCGCCGAGGCCGAGAAGGCCGCCAACGGCGGCAAGGACGAGGAGATGACCGACGCCGCGGGCGAGGCGAAACCCGATGTCGACGAGACTGGCGAGGCCTCCAAGTAAGACGAGCCTTGTCCGATTCTCTCCTCTTCTCCTCCCCCTTCCTTCCCCATTCCTATTATCCTGCCCCGCTCTTCCTAACGGAAGGGGGCCGGACTCTTTACGACGACGATGAGACCCTTTCAGGGGATGGGGAGCCCGGCGAGGCGGAAGAGCATTATGGCAGAGGGCCCGGCGAGGCATCATAACTCTACTTACTCCCGTTGTTACGACCGAGACTGGGACAGCAAAAGTAATGATTGATAGACTAGACCGAGCCTGAGGGGTATTGTGTTTTGTTGTTGTTTTTCTCCACTTGCGTTGGTCTTTTGATGATTGAGGACGAAAGGGCATCAGGTCACACTCAGTGGGACCGTAGTTAGGTTGGGTGGTCAGGGAATGAACATGATGAGCATTAACTTACTGACATGGCGCGTGATGTGCCTTTTGCCCCTTATCGGTGTGAAGTTTGGAGCCCGGTCAGACACGCGAGGCAGCATGCGCTCAATGAGGCAGGGCAGAGAGTATGCATTGAAGCACTTCTCGTGGGTTGCCACCTCACCGACTCTGAATCCGAGGTTCTCGTATTCGGGCACCCCAAGAGCCGAATAGGGGTGTCAATGTGTTCTGAGCACAGATCTGTCTGTCCGCCCCATCTTCGTAGCGTAACCAGGCAGAAAGGAGAGCAGCGCCTGGGAATCTAGCATATCTTGAGAACCGACAGACACAACGGGGGGGGGACCAGGACAGTCTGCCGGGAGACAACCGCCACACCCATCATGGCCTGCCACCAAGCCCACAACATTCCGTGGAACGTCCTGGCATCCAACTTGAAGCACGTCGCAGCCCACCGCGGCGTGGAGCACACGAACCTGTACCCGCGCTTCAAGCAGCACCAGGGCAAGGAAATCCAGTACTTCATCAACGCCTTCTGCAGCAACGTGACGGCGCACACACGGGTCGAGCTGCGCAAGTTTGGCGATGAGGCGCAGCCATCGGCGGACGCGGACGCGACCGCCGACACGCAGTCACACATGCATCCGGACGCCATTCTCCTGACAGACGAGGCGGTCGAGCGCATCAAGCACTCGGTCCACGGCTGCGCCGAGATCTACTGGTGCGACGGCGAGCCGGGCCTGGACTGGACAACGGTGCCGCTCCCCTTCCGGCGCGCCGGGGCTTTCTTCCTCGGCCGCGGCGAGCCGGGCGATGGGGTCGATGACGGACGAGAGGCCTGGCGCAACGGCCCCGGCGCCTTCGTCAGCCTCGAGATCTTCAAGCTCCTGCTGCTGCACGGGGAGATGGCCGTGCTGCGCCGCATCTGCCGCGACGGCGGCTCACGCGCGCGCGCCGCCTGGCTCCAGGGCTGGGAACGGCACTACGACGCGCACGGCGACCAGAACGCGTGCGGCTGGGGGTTCGTGCCCAAGCTGGCACTCAAGGCCTACCTGTGCCTGAACCTGCTGCTGTGTTTCCCGCCGCTGCACGACGACGGCCGCGGCGGGCGTCGCGAGCGTGACGAGGGGCGCGAGGGCGCCCGGCCGCTCGACTACCGCGACACACGCTGCTACCAGCACACGCTGCGCGAGTGCTGCCTCACGGATGCCGCGACCACGACGGCGGCGCTGCCGCACCAGCACTTCTTCGGTATCCCGCGCGGCGTCTACGCGCGGTACGGCTACGGTTCCGCGCCGGCGGCGTACCTGACGGACCAGTACCCGAGCCGGGAGCGGCCGCGCTTCCCGTACGGTGTCCTGCCGTTCGGAGACTTTATCCATCTTGAGGGCGCCGTGCCGCACCAGCCGTCGGTCCCGGACGTGCTCCACGTGCGGTGGTGCCTCTGCCGGCTCGGGCTGCCGACCGAGCTGGCGACCGAGGTCATGGACTTTGCTGGCTATGTGCCGCAGCGGCGTCTGCCCGTGGCCCATGATCCGTTTCACATGGCAAATAGGGAGGAGCTGCGGAGATATCTCAATTACTGTTGGACTGTGATCGTGCGGACCGATATGCTCGGCACGTGGCTGGGATACGACGTGCCTTGGGACAGACTTGTGGCCGAGCAACTGATGCAGCTTGTGGGTTATGGTCCCAGTACTCAGGTCGCATATGCGCATGGAAGGAGGTTTTGCACAGAGGAGTATGACGGTGAAGGCCAGGGGTTCAGATACCATGATTCGTACAAGTATACATTTCACTGAGACGGTACCTCGGGTTTGCTGTGATGGACTGTCGACATAATCTCGCAGCCTCTTCTGATTTCGGCTTCTCGTGCTTCATGACAGCTTCAGCTAGGCACAGCACACGCCGTTCGTCTGCTTCCCCACCGCAGACACCCGGCAGAAACAGGACGCAGCGACGCGAATGTCGGCAGATGCTGTGACAACGTCCTTTTGCAGACTGAGCGCCCATGCCTCGTCCTTCTTGCCGTTGCGAACGAGAGACTCATGCAGCCCGTGCAACCCCCAAACGTTACCGAGCCTGGCCTTTCGCCGAGACAGGTCCTTACTGAGGCCCAAGTCCTGCCGGTACGCCACCTCGGCCTCTTCGGAACGGCCCTGCTCGAGCAATAAAGCGCCCAGAGCGTGCCTGACGGGCTGCATCCAGAGCGGCGGGTCGCTATAGGGCAGGTTATCTTCGAGTGTGACGGCCCGGCGAAGTAGGTCAAAGGCTCGGTCATGCTCTCCCTCACGGTAGACAAGTTCACCTTCGCACATGAGGGACGCCACCTCGAGTACCTCCTTGGCCACAGCCGTGACACCCCATCGACGTTCCCTAGGCACAGCAGCCCGCGCTTGTTCGAATTTGTCCCTTTCCGCCCGTGCCTCCTCCTTCCGCCCCAAGACGCCAAGCGCGATGGCTCGCCCATAGAAAGTGACGGCCGTTGTGATGCTCCAGAGGCTCGCATCCGCTGGTGCCTCGACCTCCAGCAGGTCCTCCCACCGCCCGAAACGTATGAGGGCGTGCACGAGAATGCCGCCCTGGAACTCGACCCAATCAACCATGGGCGGTGACCTCACAGCCAGCAATTCTGGCGTCAACACCTGTCTAATGTGGTGTGCCGCTGAGATGGCGTCTTCGGACCTGCCAGACATCATGGCGGCGTACACCAAGGCCGAAAGGTTATGCGTGCGATAGGCCTTGTACAGCACGCTCGCTGAGTCGCGCTCAAAGTAGATGTCGTCGGACCGGGCCGCGCGGCGGTTCGATTCGATGCTGTGGCGGTAGTCACCGACAGCAGCATCAATGTGGGTGGCCATGTGTTGTAGATGTGAGCCGTCGGGAACGAGGTCGCGCAAGCGGTCGGCGGCGGGGAGGGCCAGGGCAACGGTCTGGGACATTTCCATGAGATGGATGTAAAGGTGGTTCAGAGCGGCATGGGTGTGGCCACCTGGCAGAGCGAAGCCAGCCTCGATGGCATGGCGGGCATCAACAGTCTCCTGGGTCGTCGGGGCACCGGTGTCGAGGTTCCACAGCTGGCGGGGGCGGATGCACATGAGAGATTCGGGGTAGAGAGCCTTGACTTCTAGGTCGGATGGAAAGTCGTCATGGACGGCCTTCATGGCATCTGCGTAGGCACGGTCGAGGGTGGCCGGGGTCTCGTCTGAGGCGGCATTCACCGAGGGGAATCTGGTGACGAGGGCCCGAATGAGAGCCTGCTCAACAGGCGATGCCTGCTCTATGAGCTCCATCGCGCGAGCCAGAGCCTCACTGCCTCTCTGAGCACTGGCCTTGAAGTCTTCGGCGTCATAGCGAGCCCAGGTCTTGTTGTAGTTGGGCCCGACAGCGTAGGCGAGGCCCCAGTGTGCCATGGCGCACCGAGGGTCGTGCTCGGCAGCCCGGGCGAAGCATCGTGCGGCCTCCTCGTGGTTAAAGGCATAGGACCAAATAAGTCCCCGGTCGAACCACGTCTGGGCAGCATCCGAAGTGGTCGTGACCTTGCGCGAGTAATTGCCCAGGTCGTAGGGGTAGGCCTCCGTCTCGACCTTGCCCACGCTGTTGCTCTCGAGGGGTTGATTCCTGGGATGAGTTAGTATGAATGAATTGGGCTCAACATGGACGATGACAATGCTCACGCCATAATGGTTATGTATAGAGGATGACCTGGAGCGAGGCAATCAACGGCGTGTCATGACCAAGGCACGGAGGGGCGGGTACGACGGGTGCTGGTGCTCTGGTGCTCTATATCGGCCGAGGCAGGTACGAAGACAGACCCCCGTGGATCACGCCTTCTCTCACAGCTCACGCACCATGCGTCATGCGTCACGCCCTGCGCCTGCCCTAGGTTTGCCTCCCTGGGTTTGCCTTCCTCGGGCTTAGGGCCTTCTGGTCTCCAGTAATAATCACTACGTTTGGTCCCGTAAGAAACGGTCAGCGCACAGCGGCAGCCTAAGCGCCGCTGAGCAGAGGCCGAGTGGCGTGGTCATCAAATGCCGAAAGCGCGGGGTACACCCATGCCCCGATCGGACCGGAGTCCAACGACCCATCATCCACGCTGTCTCCGAACGCTCACCGTCCGATGACTACCCACATACGGACACATAACCCGAGATGGCACGCTCATGGACAATCGATGACTGCCGTGGACATCAGCCCTCCGGTGTTTCCGCTGACCAAGCAATGGCTTCGTCTGAGGTAGGGGTTGGGATTAGGTAGGAGAAACGCAGTGGGTAAAAGAGGGGACTCAACAACATCTACACGCCAAGGCCTCGAGGGTAGACCCCGATATCGACGCCAACTAATTCGGTCACGCCGCAAAGCTCAGTGTGAGATATGACAGCCTGACAAGGTTTGCGAAGCACCGAACTCCCAGACCAAATCTTGATGAAGAGGAGAAGAAATGCATCATGTTACTTTTAGGCCTCCAACCTGCCTACTTCGTCTTCGTACAACGAACGTCCCATATCTGACCCGGACCCGTCCACCCGTCCATCCCCCTCCTATGCCCCCTCGCATCCCTCTAAACCGTATCCATGACCGTGACCGTGACCGTGACCGTGCCGATGCCCACGCCCCGAGACGTCGCCCCATTACGCACACCTAAATCAGTGAATGTCGAACAGAGGCTTGAGCTTGATGATGAGCTGCCACTCGTCGTTCGACACGTCCTTGCGGTAGAACTCCTTGAGCGTGTCGATGCTCTTGCGCGAGATGAGACTGTACAGCGCATCCGGCTCCTCGAGCTGTCGTCCGTATGTTGGCTGGTGTCCGCCCATTTCGATCTTGACGGCCACCGACGGCTGGCCCTTCTTGCACACGGGAATCTGCTTGTGGTCGCGCTCGATCGAGGTACTGGTACGTGCTGTCAGCAGGAGTAAACAGGGAGGAGAGGGGCCCAGAAGCAGAAGAAGGGAGAAGAGGAAAAGGAAAAAGAAAAAGAAAAACATACACTCTGCCGAGGTTGATGACCTCCTTGACACCCGTCACCGGGTTCGTCTTGACGGCGGCAATGGGCGTGTTGATCTTGAGCTGGCCATCCACAACGTCGACGCCGACAACGATAGGGTTCGTCTTGTTGAACACAGCCACCGTGTTGAGAACGCAGGGGAAGACAGCCAGCATCTTGGACTCCTCCTTCTTCTTCTCCAGGAGCTCGTCCATGTGCTTCGTGAACGAGTCAAACAGGTGGTAGATGATGTCGGCTGTGAAAATCTTAACACCCACGTCCTCGGCGTAGGCCTGCGCCTCCTTGTCGACCTTGACGTCGAAGCAGAGCATGACGGCATAGTCCGGCGCCTTCTCCAGCATGATGCCCGACTGCATAACGTCGCGCTTGTACACTGGGCCGATACCCACGTTGGCCACGGGAATCTTGCAGTCCTTGAGGAAGTCGAGCAGGGCCTCGAGCGAACCCAGCGTCGAGGCCTGCACGCTGACACCGCGACCCGTCTTCTCCACGCGGTTGAACAGCACGGCGAGATCGGCCTCGACCTCGTCGCAGAGGTCGTCCTCGTCGTCGTCGGGACCGACAACGAGCAGGCGGGAGCCGGCAATGGCGCCCTCGAGACCCGGCGCGCTGATCTTGACACCCAGCGCCGCCTTGACCTCCTTGTTGTGCACGTACGCCGACTTGAGACGCAGCTCCTTCATCGGCGCCGGCGTCAGCAGCGCACGAATGTTGGTGACGATGGCGCCCTCGACACCGCACAGCACAATCTTGTCGCCCTCGCGGAGGATACCGTTCGTGACGACGACGTCGATGGTCATGCCGAAACCCTCGATCGCCTTGACCTCGAGGACGGTGGCCTGCACCTCGGCGAGGTACATGAGCGAGCCGACCATGCGCTCCTGCGTCAGCTGCACAATGAGCTTCAGCATGTCGGGGATACCCTCGCCGGTGTGGGCCGACGTGGGGATGAGGGAGACGTTCTTGGCCATCGACTTGTTCTCGTAGTACAGTTCGGCGTTGAATCCCTGCTCGGCGAAGAGGACCTTGGTCTGCTCGAGACGGTTCTTGAACTCGTTCTGCACGCCCTTGGGCTGCAGCGCCAGACTCTCCTGGAAACCGTTGTTGTCGACCTTCTTCCAGCCGTAAAGACGATCGATCTTGTTGAGGGCCACGACGAAAGGCGTCTTCCTGTCGCGGAGGAGCTTCATCGACTCGAGCGTCTGCTGCTCGAGACCGTGCATGATGTCGACAACGAGAATGGCAATGTTGCAAAGGGACGAGCCACGAGATCGGAGGTTGGAGAAGGACTCGTGACCGGGCGTGTCGATGATCAAAAGACCAGGGACCTTGAACTCGAAAGCGCCGTCGGGGTTGACAACGGCCGTCTTTTGCCTGATGGCCTCGACGGGGAAGTATGTGGCACCGATCTGCTGGGTGATACCGCCAGCCTCGCCCTCCTGGACGTTGGTCTGTCGGATCTTGTCGAGAAGCTTCGTCTTTCCGGTATCGACGTGACCGAGAATACAGCAAATGGGCGATCGGAGGTTGTCCTTGGACCGGGCGGCGAGGGCGGCCTGGTGGGCCTTCTCACGACGCTCGGCCGCCTCCCTCTTGCGCTGTGCTTCCTGCAGGGCCCTCGTGGTGGCCTCCTCGTCTTCCGACTCGGATTCGGACTCGGAGTCTTCCTCTTCTTCTGAACCGTCTTCCTTTGCCTTCGGCCTCGAGGGAAGCGCCTTGTCGGCCTTGGCCTCGTCGTCGCTGTCGGCATCCCAGCTGTCCTTGACGTCGTCGGAGTCAGCTGCGGCCTCCCAGTCTTCCTCGACGTCGCTCTCGGGCTTCTTGGCCGCCTTGGCCTCCTCCTCTGCGGCCTTTCGGCGGGCCTCCTCCTCGGCCTCCTTGAGGAGCTTCTCAGCCTGCTCCTTCGCACGGGCGGCAGCCTCGGCGAGCACCTTCTCCTCGTCGACCTAGACGTGTCGCGTCAGCACATGGGTTGGTTCTCGGGTACAGCAGCATCGGCAAAAGCGAGCGTCCCTACCTTCTCAGCAGCCTTGCGGCCGCCCTTCTTCCTGTCGGCGGGCTTCTTCTTCTCCGTCTCGCCCTCCTCATCGGCAGGGCCGACCTTGATACCGGCAGCAATCATCTGCTGAAGCTTGCGCTCGTTGCGGGCCTTTTCCTCCTTCTGGGCCTTGGTCATGTATTTGCCCTCCTTCTTGAGCTGCTCGATCTTCTCCTTCTCCCTCTGCTTCTTGAGGAGGCGAGCCTCCTCGCGGGCCTTGATCTCCTCCTCGGTGCGGCGGGCGTCCTCCTCCGCCCTGCGCTTCTCCTCCTCCTTGATGCGCTCAGCCTCCTCGGCCTTGCGGCGCAGCTCCTCCTGCTGCTTCTGGATGAGGGCGAGGTGGGCGGGGATCTTCTTCTTCTTGCCGTCGGCGGCAGCGGGCGCGGCAGCAGCAGCAGCAGCAGCAGCAGCGGCCGACGTGTCCTTCTTCTCAGCAGCCTTGGCGGGCTCCGCGGCCTTGGCGGCACCGCCAGAAGCCTTCTTCTTCGCAGCCTGTCACAACGTCACGCGTCAGCATTCCACGTCCTGCTCCCGTCGTGGACGACGACTGGACACCGCCGCCGTCGGCAGAGGAAAAAAGGGGGCCGGGGGTGCTGTGTGAGCTCACCATCTCCTTCTTGCGCTGCTTCTCCTTCTCCTTCTTAATCTTCTCCTTCTCGGCCTTGGTCAGCACACGACCGGGCTCGCCATCGTCGGCGCCGCCGTCGTCACCAGCATCGTCGGCCGCCGCCGCAGACTTGTCGGCCTGCTTGCCCTTGCCGCCCTTGCCCTTCTTCTCGGGCAGCGCCCACTCGTCCTCGGCCGTGGCCTCGACGGGGGCGGCGACCTCGGGCGCCTCCTCCTCGTCCTGGAGGCCCTTCTTCTTGCGCTTCTCCCTGTTCTTGCGCAGCGTCGCCATCAGGCCGCCGGCCTCCTCCTCCTC